AAAAACGGATTCCTCAATGCGAACCACCCACCTCCTCCAGCTTGCGAACTAATGAGAAGTTTCACAAAGCTCGCATCGGCGAAAGAGATGCTATGATTTTGTTTGCGGCTGCGCTGCATCCCCACTATCCACTTTCTATTCTGAGGTGAAAAGAAGTCAAAAATTCCACTACTTCTCAAAGCGCACGACTCTTTCTCAGTCCCTTTTGCAAAACGCTGAACAGATTGACGAATCACAGCTCGTACAAGCTTTTGCTCTTTCAGCGTCCTAACCTAGGAGTTAATTTGTAAATGCAAGTATAAAGGTCGTAGCATTCGAGCCCTTCCACTCGCAAACCTCGGTGGAGGATTCTTTGAGGCGCGCTTGAGCTTGAGCTGACGTTCATTCTGCTTTATCTTCGTAAAGATCCGTAAATATTTTTCCCAAAGTCATCACTGGATCTCTGAATCAACAGTAATCTAGCAGTGTTAGTAGTAGCAGTAATGCATTCGAAAAAAATTGAAGTCACAGTCAAGAGCAGGGTGAACCACAATAAAGGATATCCTTGATGAGCTGCCCCTACATAGTACATACAGCGTCGATGGGAGGTGGGGCTCTGATCGCAGTGGTCAGTAACGGCGCAGCAGTGCAGCTGTCACTCACTCATTGTCAGGTTTCGTCTGATGCGAAAAGTGTTTTGTTCGGCCAAAAGTTAGTAATCTCGAATCTTTCCGAGATAAAATTCGGCTGCAAGTGCTTTGAAATCATGACTCTAGCATCTGTGTCACGGCGGAAAAGAGCAACGAGGAGACGAAAAGAAACGCGAAAAGGAGCAGGAGCATCAGGGCAGTGGAAGTTGACTCTGAGAACAACAGAGTATCAGTGCTCATTTGTTCAATTGCAACTTGCCACGACCGATGTCGTTTTGAGGCAAGGGAGAAGGGGAGGGAGTACCTTTATGCTGCTCTAGATGGACATTCTTGACTGAGAATCCAACTTAGAAGACCGTACACCATATCGTGAACCTGGTGGATGAACTGTGTGATTTCAATACGTGAAGATCCCCAATCCTTCACGCCACCACACATTGCAGTCGGGACAGGATGATTTTCGTGAATAGGGTCAAAGGATAAGGAAGCAAATGAGGAAATGATGAGACAATATGGTCATAGTAGTTATTTTGGGTAATTAAGGCAAGAAACACTCTGTTTTAAAGCAACAAGCAGCTGGCACCCTTCAACTGAGTCCACGTGGGGGCAGATTCATGGCGCGACCAGACTATTTGAATCAAGTGGATCGTTTCTTGATATTCCATCAAGAAGATCTTATCGTTAGTTTTCAATGATCCAAAAAGGTTTCTTGCAACGGCATAGATTATTAAAACGCAGATATCTCGCGAATTAGAAAGCTTTTAAATCAAGCTCGAAATCAAGGAGATGATACGCAAATAGAGAACGTTATCTGTAGTATTTCGAAAGAAAAACCTCTCGAGCAACTTCAAATTTTTTCGACATTTCCTCGACGAAGATTTCCTTTGCAGTAGGGTAGGATCAGCGCAAACTAGACCAGAGTCAATGCTTGGAGCCTGGTCTTCATTTTTTGAATAACTGTTACCAAAGTAATAATAGTTCTCTGGATAGGTGACATATTGGACCAATCCTAAACGAGCCGCCGATCGCTCCAACCCATAAGGTACCGCTGCAACCGCTGCTACACATGTCAGTGGCAGCATACGTTGCGTCTCGTACTTTCATGTATAATGAGCTCTCTCCCTCCTCGCAACGCTGGGTCTCCCCGTCGCATCATTCCCGACTTCATGAGGGAGTTTCCAGAGTTTTCTATGGCGCACTATTTCCGGCTAAGATTCCTCTTCGCTCTTCTTGTTTAATTTTCTAAGAATGGACACGCGACCTGTACCCTTAAGTAGTGATTGAGTCACGGATGTAATGATGAATCCTTCTGGAAGAACTTGGCACTAAACTGGCGTAGAAAGCGGAGAGACTGAGCACAATTAGCTTCAGGACTTGAATTACTGAGCATTTGCTTGGCAGCCGCGCTACTATCCGCTACTTCCCTTTCGTGCATTTGAAATGGACTTTTTCAGAACGGGATGAAAGGAGAGTAGAGTTCTCTTCTCTCAATACTTGAA